GCAGTTTTTTTTATAAAAAAAAAAAAAAAAAAAAAAAAAAAAAAAATGCTGAAGAAGATTGTGAAAAAACAGCGTTTTTTTTTTTTTTTTTTTTTTTTTTTTTTTTTTTTTTTTTTTTTTTTTTATTTCAAAAAAATAAAAAAAAAAAAAAAAAAAAAAAAAAATCATCAAAATATTGGAAAACACAGCGTTTTTATTTAGTTTTTTAATGAAAAAGTTGGAAACACAGCGTTTTTTTTTTTTTTTTTTTTTTTTTTTTTTTTTTTTTTTTTTTTTTTTTTTTTTTTTTTTAAATATATATATATATATATATATATATATATATATGATATGATTATTAAAATAATTGATTTTTCATTAAATAATTGAAATTTTTTATTGAGTTTTTAATAAAGAAATTGGAAAACACAGCGTTTTTATTGATGTTAGATTAAAATGATTTGAAAACACAGTGTGTTTATTGATTTTTCAGTGAAATAATTGGAAAACGTAGCGTTTTTATTGATTTTTAAATGAAAATCTGGAAAACACAGCGTTGCCGTACCCGAAACCTTGAAAAACATTGGAAAGTTGGAAAACACAGCGTTTTTATTTGAAAATATTGGAAATAATTGGAACTATTGGAAAACACAGCGTTTTTATTGATTTTCGATTAAAAAGATTGGAAAACAAATCGTTTTCATTGACTTTTGAACAATAATATTGAAAACACATCGTGTTCATTGATTTTTAATGTTTTCACATCGAACCCAAGGAATCTTATAAAACATCCATAAATACATGCAATAATAATTGGTTCGCACGCTTACGCCTTGAAGCGGTTCTAATGCGTTTCCCACATGTTTCCACAATTCTGGCGCATCTGTGGCGCCGCTGTTTTTTCTGGCATTTCGTGTTTTCACACAGAATCCCAAAGAATCTGAATACAAAACCAAAACTACATGAAGTAATGATGTGTTCGCACGCTTACGCCTTCAAGCGTTTCTAATGCGCTTCCCATATGTTATCACACTCCTCGCGCATTTGCGGTGCCGTTTTTTTTTTTCTCGCAAGCATTGCTCTCACACAGAATCCCAAAGAATATTATTAAAATCTGTAAATACATGAAGTAATAGTGTGTGCGCACGATTACGCCTTGAAGCGGTTCTAATGCGTTTTCCATATGTTTCCACACTTCTGGCGCATCGGTGGCGCCGCTGTTTTTTCTGGCATTTTGGCTTTCGCACAGAATCCTAAATAATCTGATTAGAAACAATATATACATGAAGTAATAGTGTGTTCGCACGTTTACGCCGTCAAGCGTTTCTAATGCGTTTCCCATATGTTTCCACACTTATGGCGCATCTGTGGCGCCGCTGTTTTTTCTCGCATTTATTGATTTACACAGCTCCCCCGAGAGTCTTACCTTCCCTGCGACAAGGCGCAGAGGGCCGCAAATGAAGCCCAAGGGGGCGCGGCAAGAACGGCAGAGAGAGAGAGAGAGAGAGAGAGAGAGAAAGAGAGAGAGAAAGAGAAAGAGAGAGAGAGAGAGAGAGAGAGAGAGAGAGACAGACAGAAAGAGAGAGCGAGAGAAGGAGAGAAAGAGAGAGAGAGAGAGAGAGAGAGAGAGAGAGAGAGAGAGAGAGAGAGAGAGAGAGAGAGAGGAGAGAGAGAGAGAGAGAGAGAGAGAGAGAGAGAAGAGAGAGATGATGATGATGATGAGCGGCGCCTCGAAAGGTCGGAAGGTGAACGCACCAAAAGCATAGCATGCTGAGCCACAGGCTCAGCCGCGCGCGCCGCCGCGGCCGCGGCGCGCCGCGGGCCGCCGGGCGCTCGCGGCGCGGGCGGGCCCCCCGCAAGCGGGCAGCACGGGGATGGCAGGGCCAGCTCCCCCGCCACGTTCTGTCGGGCGAACAACACCCCAGCCGGAAACACCCGGCCCCCGACAGAACGGACAAGGGCCAGGCCCCACCAAACCCCAGGCCACCCACCCAGGGGCCCGCAACGACACGACAGACGACGACAGCGACGGCGACGACACGACGGGGAAGACGGACCCCCAGCCACGACTCCCACGGGGGACACCTGGCTGGGTAGCCAGGCTCCCGTGGGAGGCTGCGTGGCCGGGGGCCCCCCGGGAAGGGGACCCCGCTTTGGGGGCCATCCCGGGCGCGGGGGCTTTTCCCCCGAAGGCCCAGCGGTCCCCGCCTCCGCCAGGGGGCGCTTTGGCCCGACACCCCACTTATGGGGGTGCCCCTCCGGGAGAGAAAGAGAGAGAGAGAGAGAGAGAGAGAGAGAGAGAGAGAGAGAGAGAGAGAGAGAGAGAGAGAGAGAGAGAGAGAGAGAGAGAGAGAGGAGAGAGAGAGAGAGAGAGAGAGAGAGAGAGAGAGAGAGAGAGAGAGAGAGAGAGAGAGAGAGAGAGAGAGAGAGAGAGAGAGAGAGAGAGAGAGAGAGAGAGAGAGAGAGAGAGAGAGAGAGAGAGAGAGAGAGAGAGAGAGAGAGAGAGAGAGAGAGAGAGAGAGAGATAGGGATGGACATGATTATAAATGATAATGACGATGACGACGAGGAGGGAGGAGGAGGAATACTACTTTTTAGTAGACACACACAAAGCGCAACCGCGCGACCCCAATCAGCGCGGCGACAGTCTAGCACTGGCTCATCATAGCCTCGGCCGGTAGGGCCGAAGATGCGTTCCGACGAGAAGCTTGCGGAATTCGCAGAGCGAAAACTCCACGTCGTGGTACGTAAGCGGTCCAAGGTTGAGCGTCTCAAGAATGTGACCCAGCCACGGATCTGCATTCAGATCGTCCAGAAGGGCCTCTACGTGCGCCACGTACTCCGCCTGCTTCCCCGCCGAAGCCGCCGAGCGGTTGATCGGCGGCCCGCGCTTGACGCCACGAGTGGCGTTGAGCGCGTGGGGCACGCCGGGGCCGACCACCCGGTGCTCACCCCAGTCGGTGTGGCCCGGGCAGTGCGCGTCGAGGTCGAGGAGGAGGTGGTCAGGCTTCTTGATGGTTGCGCACACCAGAGCGCCCGTCACCTTCACCGCGAGCTCGAAAGAGATCGCACAATCTTCTTCTTGCTCGTATTGTTGGGCCAACGTCAAAGGCGCGCCCGATGAGGACTGCGCGCCTGAGCTGGCGGCCATCTCGCGCCGACCTGGCGCGAGGGCGAAGCGATGCCAGGCCGCTTCGGTCTCGGCACCCCAATCAAAATTGAGCCCAAACCTAAATACGCATCGTTGTAAAATATACAGCGCGCGTGTTCTAGATGTTGGCATTCACAGTGCGCGCGCGTGGCAATGTGCGTAACATATACTACATGTGAACGTGTGGATACGCATATGTTAGCTTTCTGGCATGGCCAAATCAAGAAACCATGCGCGCTTCTACCCGCGCTCTCTGCAATAGGTGCACGCTGACCTCAACCCGAGAAACCTGCCGACTCGCTCCCACCCGCTCCCGCTCGGCTCCCGCAAGGCTTCTCTGGCGAAGCGCGTTTCCACGAGCTGCCACACATTTTCCGTTCGTGCTCGCATGACAAAGATGAGCATCGATATCTTTGGATCAGCGAAGCCACTTGGACCTAGAGGCATGCAAGAGAGAGAGAGAGAGGGAGAGAGAGAAAGAGAGAGAGAATGATAATGGGAACTACCGAAGGATACAGGAAACGAGAAAGGCAATGATAAAGCTGGAGACACACACACAAGAACACACACACACACACAAGCCACCTACACAAAGATACCACCCCCACCGGGGGGGGGGGGGCGCCACGCCCTCCATCCCGGGTGTGGGGGCCGCCCCGCGACGCCACGCCCTCCCTCCCGTGGCCCCCGCCCAGTCTGCCCGCGCCTTGCGCGGAGGAGGAGGGTCCGCCTGGCCGCCGCTCCGCCGCCGCCGCCGCGACCGCCACCCCGCCCCCGTTCCTCCTCGTACCCCTCCTGCCCCTCCACGTCCTCCCTCCTTCTCCTACTCCTCCTCCTCATCATCCTGCTTGGTCTCCTCCTCCTCCTCCTCCTCCTCCTCCTCTTCCTCCTCCTCCTCCTGCATGTCCTGCTGCTTACCCTGCCCCTCTCTGCTGCCTGCTGATGCTCCTCCTTATGCACTTACTCCTCATACCTGTCCCCCTCCGCCTCAACCTGATAAGCATCATCACCACCAATACCACCACGACCACCGTCATCATCATCACCATCATCAACATCTTCCTCATAATCATCAACATCACCATCATCAGCATCAGCATCACAACCAACACAATAATAATCATCATCATCATCATCATCATCATCAACATCAACATCAACATCAGCATCATCATCATCATCTGCATCAGTCTCCTCCTCCGCTTCATCATCAGCATACTCATCATCAACAGCAGCATCATCATAATCAGCATCAGCACCATCATCAACATCATCAACATCAACATCGTCATCATCATCGACATTAGCAGCAGCATCGTCGTCGACATCAGCATACTATTCAGTATCATCACCAGCAGCATCATCAATAACATCGTCATCACTGTTACCATCATTATCATCATCGGCATCATCGTCATCATCATCGCCATCGTCACCATCATCAGCATCATCATCGTCATGGTCACCAGCATCACCATGAGCATTAGCATCGTCATCATCATCAGCATCATCAGAACCATCAGCATCATCAGCATCATCGTCATCATCACCATCATCATCATCATCATCAGCATCATCATCACCATCAACATCGACATCGCCATCACCATCATGATACGCATCCGCATCATCATCATCACAACCATCGTCATTATCGTCACCACCACTATCATCATCATCATCATCATCATCACCATCACCATCACCATCACCATCACCATCACCATCATCATCATCATCATCATCATCATCATCATCATCATCATCATCATCCTCGTCGTCCTTCTCCTCCTCATCATCAGCAGCATCCTCACCACCATCCCGATCCTCAGCATCATTGTCCTTCCTGCTACCCCCTGCCTCCTCCCGCCTGCTGACGCACCAGCGCCACGCTGTTCACCAGGAAGAGGACGAGACGCCCCCCCATGTGCTCCAGGAAATAATCGCAGAGCATGACCGCCACGAGCGTCTTCCCTGCGCCTGTCGGCAAGTTCACGATCACGTTGCCCGCGACCGCCTCCTCGTAGGCCCTTTCGGAGCCGCGAGACGAAAAGGTGATTACGGACACGGTGCCGTACTCCCCTTTTCTACTCGTCCTTTGTCAGAGTGAGGGGGCCGAACTGTCATTCACTGTCCCTGTGTGCGTGGCTGAAGTGGGATTCTGCGGTGCGGATTCTCGTTGTTGTTGTTTGTTGTTTGTCGTCGTCCCACCCGCAACCCTCCCCGCGACCCACCCGCGACCCACCCCGCGACCCACCCCGCGACCCACCCGCGACCCACCCGCGACCCACCCGCGACCCACCCCGCGACCCACCCCGCGACCCACCCCGCGACCCACCCCGCGACCCACCCGCGACCCACCCGCGACCCCCCGCGACCCACCCTGCGACCCGCCCCGCGACACACCCGCGACACACCCGCGACCCACCCGCGACCCACCCCGCGACCCGTCCGCGGCCCACCCCGCGACCCACCCGCGAACCACCCGTGACCCACCCGCGACCTACCCGCGACCCACCCGCGACCCACTCCGCGACCCACCCGCGACCCACCTTCGACCCAAACCACGTTCAAGGTACAAACCACAATTTTCGGCGCCTGCGGCGGTTTTTCTGCATCCCTTCCAGGTGGAGAGCCCGCGACCCACCCCGCGACCAACTCGCGACCCAAACCACGTTCAGGATACAAACCACATTGTTCGGCGCCTGCGGCGGGCTTCTTTTGCATTCGTTTCAGGTGGAGAGCCCGCCGCCCACCCGCGACCACGTTCAGGGTACAAACCATTATTTTCTGCGCCTGCGGCAGGGCATACAAACCAATGTTTTCGGCGCCTGCGGCGGGCTGCTCTTGCATTCCTTCCAGGTGGAGGTGGAGAGCCCGCGACCCACCCGCGACCTAAACCACGCTCAGTGAACAAACCAATGCCGCACAAGCGCGGTGGCGGATTTTTGCACGCCCTTTGAGCCCGCAGCGACCTCTTCAAGCCCTGCGCATCAGCAACTTTGCCCTGGCGACTTGCCTTGATCAGAGACGTCGGGGGGCACGAAGTGGAAACAAGGATTGCGTTGCCGCTATTTGGATGAAGGGGGGGGAGGCAGGAGGAGTAAACAGGGGACGAGGAGGACGCGGAAGAAGAGAGGATGGAAGGATAATGTGGAGAAAGAGGAGCAGGTGGACGAGGAGGGGGAGGAGGGGGAGGAGGAGCACGAGGAGGGGGAGAAAGGGGAGGGTGTGATGATGGGCGACAATGGGAGGACGATGCTGGAGGCCGATGAGGGGGGGGACGACAATGGGAGGACGATGATGGAAGGACGAGTGGGGAGAGGGAGGACGAGTAAGAAAAGGAGGAGGAGGACGAGGTGGAGGAGGAGGATGACGATGACGATGAGGACGAGGGCGAGGACGAGGAAAAGAAGGAGGAGGAGGAGGAGAAGGAGGGGGAGGAGGGGAAGGAGGAGGAGGAGGAGGAGGAGGAGGAGGAGGAGGAGGAGGAGGAGGAGGAGGAGGAGGAGAGCATCATCGACAGAGAAGGGGGGGGCCACGAGGTCCGCCGGCTCGACGACGCCCGCGTCGCCCGAGCCCGCGCCCATCACTCTTATCCGCAACTGCGGGGTGCTACGTATTTCTCCTCCTCCTCCTCATCATCATCAGCATCAGTATCAGCATCAGTATCAGCATCAAACTCATCACCACCACCATCATCGTCATCATGAGCATCCTCATTATCATCATCATCATCATCATCATCATCATCATCATGCCCGACGATGGTATTTCCGAGGCCAGGTCGGAGTATGTTAGACAGCAAGAGGTAGCACCATGAACGACACTGGGGCCAGCAAGAGAGACAATTCATCAACCGAATTAGTGCTCCGGCAAACGGCCCCGCGGCCATGGCGAAGCCTTGCAGCAGCAACAGGGCGGGAGGGTGGGAGCTCGAGAGCCGAAGGCTATTAAGAAACAGCGCATTCTGCATTCGGCGTCTCCCTCCCCCTCTAAAGGCATTCATCTTCAATAGAAAAGTCCATGCCCGACGATGGTATTTCCGAGGCCAGGTCGGAGTATGTTAGACAGCAAGAGGTAGCACCGTGAACGACACTGGGGCCGGCAAGAGAGATAACTCATCAACCGAATTAGTGCTCTGGCGATCGGCCCCACGGCCAAAAAATCCCGAACTATCCGGAGGGCTACTCCTCTGATGTTTGCTGCCTAGTCAGAGCGGTGTGACTGACAGCGCCTCGGAGCGCAGTCTGGCGCCGACGAGCGCGCGAGCCCATCGTCTCGCGAGCGTCTTGGGATAGGCCTGCGCAACTAAAGTCCACGCAGGCCTTCCAGGAGCTTTTCCCCTTTTCCCCTGTAGAATCTGATGAGGCTCACCAGTCCTACTACAACGTGCACGATGGGCCAGGGCATAAGCGAGCGACAGCCGAGACATCAACGCGATAACCTAGGAGACCAGTCGGCTTTGTCCACGCTGTCCCATCTTGGCAAAAATGTGTGACAGCCCAGAAAAAATGCGGCTGCTTACGACAGCTCTGCAGAGACGGAATGAGCCACAGCCTAGACATCGCCTGATTCTCGACCGTAAAAAGGGATCTGCAGACGCTTACAACTGGCCCAAAACATCTCACAGCATCTCACTAGCTTATTGGCGGTCGTGATCTGAGCCCGGTCCACTGGGCGCGTCACAGCTGCAAGCCCCCAAAGCTCTGAGTCGGAGCGAAGTCGGCTCGGCCAGGACGGAGGCCCGCCTGGCACGCGCAGCGGTCGGGTGTCTCGGACTCTGGGCCATGTCTCACAGGGCGCGCCGAAATGCATGCCCCAGATCAGGCCGGCGCCCAGCCAGCCCCGCAGCGCGCGGGGGACCTTCGGGTCGGTGAGGTCCCAGTCGGCACCCCAGGCGATGTCCCATTCGATGACCAGGGCGCCCTCGCTCCGCAAGGCTGCTGCCAGCACGCCTTCGCCGGAGAAGACATCCACGAAGATCGGAGGCGCCAGGGCACGCCTGCGGCGGGGGCCCAGCAGCCTCCTCAGCGCCAGCCGAGGAGAGAGGCCAGCCGTGCCGGGGCCAGCAGGGCCGCGCGCTGCACCTCGGGCGCCAGCCTCTGCAGCTGCTCGTTGACGCGGCCTGGCTCGAAGTAGCGCGCGACCGACGCGTCGGTCCGCCAGCGGCCGCGGAGCTGGACGCTGGCCAGGGTCCGCAACTGCAGTGCCAGCTCCACCGACGGGCCCGAGTGCCGCCGCTGTACAGCTGCGGGGTGAGCGACGCCAGCCCCATGTCCTCTGCCGCCTCCTTGAACAGGGAGCTGACGCGCACGAGGGGGAACGGGGACAGCGGCTCGCTCGGGTGGGTCGCCGCCTTGAGCCAGCGGAGAGCGCTGGGCAGGAAGCTGTAGAACGGCAGGTCGAAGGGGATCACCTCGTCGTAGACCTGCGTCTTGCTGGGCACTGCCAGCTCGCGAGGATGGAGCACCAGTGACCAGCCGTCGCACGCGCCCTCCGGCGTCGGGGGGATCCGGTGGGCCCCCAGGGCCCGCGGCGCCTCCGACGGCCGCAGGTGGCCCGCGAAGGTCACCAGCACGTAGAGGGCGACCCGCATCTGGCCCCGATCGATCAGGCGAGTCGCGATGAGCGCCGCGATCTCCCAGGGCAGCGGGAGCCTGGTGCGAGCTGGCACTCGCCTCCGCCAGCCTCGCAAGGCCTGCAGCGCCTTCGGCAGCCCCTGGCCCCCGCGCCCGAACTGCGGCATCATGAACTTTAGCGCCGCCAGCATGCAGGCCCCGCGCTCGGGGTTCCAGCCCTCGGCGCACTGCTGGTCCATCCAGTGCGCCAGCAGGTCGTCCGCCGTCTCGGCGCGGGGGGCCACGGTCACGGTCGTCATCCAGGCCGCGAACTCGGCCCAGAGGCGCGTGCACTTGGCCCTCGTGGTCGCCGAGATCGAGAGGGCCCTCAGGACATGGCCCGCCGAGGAGCGAAGGGGGGCTGCCTCGGGCGCCCGCGCCGCGGCCCCCCCCCGCGCGCTTGGCGGCCGCCTCCGCCGCCTTCGACAGGTGGCTGCGTCTCGCCCGGCGCTGGCCTCGCTGCGAGGCCGTCGCCTGGCTGGGGCGCCCCGCTGCTGCCTGGCGCGGGACCCCCGCCACGAGCGGCGCTGGCATCAGCACCTGCCTGTCCGCCCTCCCGAACGGCGGTCAGACTGGCGACGGCGCCCTTGCGCGGCCGCGCGCCGATCCTCAGCGCCCGGCGGGAAGGCAGGTCCGCCGGGTTCGCCTCCGACGGGATCCACCGCAGCGCCGCGGTGACGGACCCTCGGCCGCGAGGAGCGGCCCGTGGTCAGAGCCAGGACGGCGACGAGACTGTCTGAGAGAAAGAGGACGCGATGGCCATGCTGCCCGGCGCCCCGGAAGACGCGCCTCAAGGCGTGGATTAAAGCCCCCCCTCCGAGGCTGCGACGCGCCCCCCCCCCCCCCCCCCCCCCCCCCCCCGCCCCCCCCTCTCCCAGGCCCCGCTCGAAATGACAACCCAGCCCCCTGAGATGCGATGAACTTCCAGAGGCTGGAAGTCGGTCTCCTGGGGCTCCGCGCGGGGGCTGCCTTTGTCCACGGGGGCGACGGGCTCCTGGATGTCCGACGGGGCGCTGCAGACGTGACCTTTCGAGGACGGCTCGGAGTAGACGAGGGCCTCCAGGGGCTCGAGGGGCTCGATGAGCTGCTCCCGGAGCGCCCTCGCACCGGGGTCTCGGAAGCGCCAGCGCTCCTTTGTATCCTATAGGTATACCCATCCTCTCCACCACGTCGTTGCTCATTTCACGCTCGCATGCCCCTCGGCCCCACTCGGAGGTATCCGCGCAGAGAACTCGGCCCAGCCAGCGGGCCCGGAGGTCGGCGTGGGCCAGCGGGGCAACCCCCATGGCCCACGTCAGCTCTCGGCGCACGCTGGGCCACCAAGGCCTAGGCGCCTCGCCGGCCTTTGCGACGAAGCGGCACACGGCCGAGAAAACTGCCAGCAGCGGGCGCCTCACCATGGGAAGGAAGGTGTAGTGGCCCACGACCTGGCGCAACTGCTGGGCCGAGACCCTCGGCATGGCGAGGAGCGCGCGCGTGGCCAGGGTGATCCCCCAGGCTCTCCGAGGCGAAGGCACGACTGCTCCCCGCGCGCCGTCGATGACCCAGCCCGGCACCTGCGCGTGGAGCGAGGCGGCGCCCTCCCCATGCACCGGGAGGCCCTCGTTGCGCAGCTCGGCGACCATGTCATCCTTCAGGCGGTCGGCGGTGTCCCCGTCGAGGGCGAGGGAAGCGAAGTTGTCGACGTGCACGAGGCGCGCGCCGGCGCCCAGGCTAGGGGCGGCCCTCCGGTCCGCGATCCTGGACAGCACTGGCAGCCCTGCGCGGTCGACGCCCGCCTCCGACACCCGCTGGCAGACGGCCAGCGCGCGGGGCCAGCCCATGGGCAGCACCGCGAGCCGCGGCCAGAGCCGCTGCGCGTGCGGCTGCCCGGGGGCGGCCTCCCGCCCAAGCCTCCAGAAGTCAAGCGGAGGGAGCGCGAAGTACGGCCTCCAAGCGTCCGGCAACTGCACGTTGTAGAAGGCGTCCGCGATGTCCGCCGAAGCGGTCCACAAGTTGGCGCCGTCCGGCAGCTCGATCGCCGCCAGGGCCGCGCCGGTGGCCAGGTGGGCGCCCTCGGGGTCGCCGAAACAGAAGTTGGCGGGGCGGGTGTCCACGACCAGCCGCTGCTTCCCACTCTTCTTGGCCACGCTGAACAGGCCAACCTCGTCGACCACCAGGGCGGCGTCGCTGACGAGGTCGACCACCCCGGCCTCGTGGAGACGCCTCACCAGCGCTGCATGGCGGCGAGGGTCTCGAAGGCAGGGGTCCGCGTAGGGCATCTTGAAGCCAACGCGCTGCTTCTGCTGCAAAACTGCGGTCTTTGGCAAGACCTTGCACGAGAGAACGCGATAGACGGAGTCGAACACCTCGGCCCCCAGCAGCCGCTCCAGCGCCACGGGGTGGTTACCTGGCGGAGGTAGCGAGAGCCGGGAGAGGTCCATCGCCTCCGCCCTGGTCGACAGCGAGCCGTCGTAGGACAGAACAGCCTGGAGCTCCTGCCGGACTGCCAAAGGCTGCGGGTCGCCTGGCGGGGGGCCCAGCTGGGGGGCGGAGCCCGCGACCCGCGTCAGGCACTGCTGCTGCGCGAGCATCGCGCCAGCCCGCGGCAGCGAGCCACCCTGCACCCCAGCACCGCTGAGGCCATTGAGCGCCTCGACCGCCTGCCGCGCGAGCCAGGGCGCGGACGCCGCGCGCCGCGCGCGCCGCCGCACGGCCCGGGAACAGACGCCAGCAGCCAGCCCGCCAGGGTCGGCGGCGCCAGGCACTGGCAGCGGAAAGAGGTCCCGCTGCCGCCCTGCGCCCGAGCCGTCGAAAGTGCGATGTACACCCTCAGCGCCACTGGTAGTCGCCGAGATGGGCCCCGATGCTGTAGCGCCCGGGGGAGCTGGGCCACTGGGCCCCCCCGGGCATGAGAAAGTCATGCCTTGGCTCCGCTGGCTTTCGGCCCAGCGGCGGCTTTCGCCTCCTCCCGCAGCTTGCGGGCGTTCTTCTTGATCTGACTGATGCGCTCGAGCTCCTTGCCGACCACGTCACGCAGGGCGGGGCACGCCATGCTGCTTGGGCGACTCGACGGACCCGTGCCGCCCATGAAAGCGGAGACCTCCTCCACCGGCAGCTTCAGCTGCCCGGCATCCTGCTCCCGTTGCTTCTCGTCCCAGAAGTGCTCGATCAGCTGCATCTTCCTCTGAAGACGCTCCGCGCCGAGGAGGTTCGTCACGTTCACCTCGTCGTGCGTGGCGAGGTCCTCCAGCACGGTGGAGAGCGTGTGGTGCTCCGAGACGCCCCAGTCCGAGGAGGTGAGCCTCTTGCGGGACTTCCAGCTCTCGTGGTGCTGGATGGGCCCGCCCTCCCGCAGCAGCCACGCCACGCACCAGCCCGCGGACCTCGGCTGCAAGGTGAAGCTGGGGTCAACCACTTCCGCCGCCGACTCGGTCACTGCGAGCCAGCTCCGTGCCAGGCGAACGCCCGGCGTGCGCGCCAAGATCCTCGCGTCGGCCCCCCGCCACTTGTCGATGAAATCACCTCGCCGCCTGTCCTCCAGGAGGAACGCCATGGCGGAGACACCTCCGACGAGGTTGATGGTCGCTCTTCGGCCCGCTCGCGCGGCCAAGATCGTGCCACCGATCGGGCCGACCTGCACCACCGAGCCGTAGGCGAGGCCGCCTGCATCCTCGGCGAGCACCCATGACCAGCCCACTGGCGCCTTGCCGTTCGGCCCGAGGGGGGCGCCGCCGTCGTCCTTCCAGGAGGGTCCAGGAGGCGCTCCGACGGCCGGGGGGGCGCCCGGCGCGATGGGCACGCCGGCCGCGGGGTCTGGCACCACTGCGGCGAGCGGTCCGTCGGCGCGGGCGGCCCGGCAGCGGCCAACGCGGCAGCGGCGACCCCGGCCGCGGGCGGTGCGGCGGCAGCCCCCCCTGGAGGCGGCACGGGCACGACGATGGCGGCCGGCGCGGGCGCGGGCGCCACGAACCCCGGCAGCAGGCCGCCCGCCATCGGCACCAGGGTGCCCCCAGGCGGCACGGGCACCCCTGGATGGCGGCGGCCGAACTCGGCGTCGGCCTCCGCGACGGCGGCCGCCAGCCAGGCCGCCTCGCGCGCCGCCGAGGGGGCCTGGCGGAACCTGTGCGTCGCGCAAGGGTCGATCCCCGGCGGCGGCGGCCACCTCGTAGCCGAGAACCGCACCGCCGAGATGTCGGGCCCCGCCGTCAGCAAGGTCTCGGCATAGACCATGTCATCTGGGGCCACGATGATCACGTCACTCGTGAATGCCAGCTGGCCCGCCACCCTCTTCTGGTGGAACAGCGGCGCGCCGACCACGTTGTAGAGGACCCACGCCCACGCCTCCGACATGAGGCCCAGCGGGGAGCGCAGCGAGCGGCGGCTGCGACCCTGACGCGCTGGCGACCGTCGCGGGGCGGCCGCGGCCCTCCGCAGCACCCCAGCGCGGCGCCCAGAGTCGGAACGCCGTAAAGGTGCCGAGGGCCCCGAGCGATGCGCCAGCCAGCGCGGCCGTCCCACAGGCGAGTGCGACAGTGCCCGTGGTCGCGCCCACCGAGGCACCAGGGCAGGGCGGGCAAGCTGGGCAGCTGCACCCCGGGCACGCTGGGCACGGCGGGAGCTCCACCGCTGGGCAGCGCGCGACCCAGGCCTGGAGCGCGGGGACGCCCCAGCGGTCGATGAGCCCCGCCCAGCCCGCGGGAAGCCCCAGGAAGGCCCCGGCCATGCGCCGCGGCCCACCAGCTCGAGAGCCGAAGGCTATTGACAAGAAACAACGCATTCTGCATTCGGCCTCTCCCTTCCCCTCTAAAGGATTCATCTTCAATAGAAAAATCCATCATCATCATGATCATCATGATCATCATCATCATCATGATCATCATGATCATCATCATCATCATCATCATCATCATCATCATCATCAGCATCAACATCATCATCATCATCATCATCAACAGCATCATCAACATCATCATCAGCATCATCATCATCAGCATCATCAGCATAATCATCCTCATCATCCTCATCATCATCATCATCATCACCGTCATCACCGTCATCACCGTCATCACCGTCATCATCATCACCACCACCATCATCGTCAACATCAGAATCATCATCTGCAGCATCATCATCGTCGTCATCAGCATCACCGTCATCATCGTCGTCATCATCATCAGCATCGCCATCCGCCCCCTCGTGCTCGCTCTGGCCTGTTCCTTCTGCACGTGCAGTGCGAATCGTTTGGTGCACATGCGTGACAGATGCTTGTTGTACATCAGCGCGTGTGTGCAAGCTGTCGACTATATATTCGACTGCTCCTCAGTTGCGTCTGCCTCTTCTTCTCCTCATCCTCATCGTCGTCATCAGGATCGTCTTCCTCCAGGCCCTCAGCCTCGTCACCATCATCATCCCGCGGCAGTCGCAGTAGCTACGCCCCTCTTGGTCCAGGGCCACTCTGTCGGAAGGCCAGCAGCAACTCATGTCGGGACTCCGGAAGATCGATCGTCGCAACTCGAAGCTAGCTGCACGCTGCAGACTTCGTACCCCTCCCCACGAGGCCCGTGGGTAGGCCTAGAAGGGTGGAGGAGGGAGGGGGAGGGACCAGTCTCCTCCTCCTCCTCCTCCTCCTCCTCCTCCTCCTCCTCCTCCTCCTCCTCCTCCTCCTGCGGAGGGGGAGACGTGGAGCAACCTGCAGCGGCCCGGGGATCGACCAAAGCAGTGTGTTTCGTGTTCCCTCGCTTTTTGCCGTCCTTCCGCCTTATTGCTGCAGGGCGAGATCGAAACGAGAACGGCCCACGAGATCGCCGAAACACCGTTTCAGGTCGACCTCTGGAGCGGCCGTTGCTGCTGCTGCGGGCCGTCGTCGTTGCTGCGGGGCGGGGGGGGGGCATTGGGAAGAGTGGGGGGGGGATCTTGGGAAGTGCGGGGGGAGAGGATTGGGAAATGCGGTGGGGGGGTGGGGGAGGGGGATTAGGAAGTGTGGGGAAGTGTCGGGGTTGGGGGGAGTGCGGGGGGGGATCAGGAAGTGTTGGGGGGGGGATTGGGAAGTGTGGTGGGCGGGGGGGGGTGGGGGGGTAAGATGTTGCGGAGCTCTTGCCAAGGCTGCCAGGGGCTGAATGGAAACCTGCAGCAGGGCGCCCAATTTCCCGCTTCGCGCTGCGAGAAGCGCGAAAAACTTAGCGCGCTCGCGCCGCCCCCCAGGGGGAGATGAGGAAGATGAGGAGGAATCGGAGCCGAACCACGAAGCGCGAATCACTTCGAGCCCTCGAGGGCGGCCGCGGGCTCACTCCCCACAGTGAACCTGCAACACAAAACGGGACCTCCCCCACATGTCTCGTCCGGAGGAGGCGGGGAGGAGGAGGAGGAGGCGGAGGAGGAGGCACATGAGCAGGAGGAGCAGGAGGAGGAGGAGGAGCAGCAGGAGGAGCAGGAGGAAGCGGAGGGAGGAAACAACGCCTGCAACAGCAGACGCCCTCCCCTTCATGCTTCCCAATCCCCCCCGTCTCGTCCGACCCGAGAGGTACAGCCAGTCCTATGGACAGAAGAGCATCCTTCAAGAGCATGGGACCCTCCGCCGGCCAGAACACACTCAACAAGGATGCACACGAACATCCAACAAGCACGAAGAACATCAAGGTACCCTCCCCGAACCGACCTCCTCCACTCCTTTCCGTATCAACAACTTTTCCCTGTCGCACCCCGAGGCCAGGCAAAAGGGCGGGCTGGGCGTTTCGCCTGAGACTTCCTCATCACGTAACAGCTGCACAGATGGAGGGCGGGCCGTTTTCAAAATGTGGCTCTCGCCTTAGCGCGGCGCACATTCGCTCTAACATTTAGCAAGAGCTTATCATGTTGAGGGCGGGTGGATTTCAAACTGTGGTTCTCGCCTGAACGCCGCGCGCATCTGTTTCAAAATTCACACGAGTTTCACGGACTGAGGGCGGTTACTGTTCACAGTGTGGCTCTCCCCTTAGCGCCACGCACTTCCTCGTCTAAAGTGACAAGGATTTCGCGGAGTCCCACTGTCAACGCACCAACAATTGCGTTTTGGAAAGATTCAGGATCATGCTGGCGCAACAGTTATGTTGATTCGCGGTGATGAAGTCCCGGGAAAGGCGTTCTGGCACGACTCAGGATCGTCAGGACGCAACAGTCAGGTTGATCCGTGGCGTCGGAGTCCCGAGAACAATGCTTTGGCATGCTTCAGGTTATTCAAACGGATGTCATCCAACGAGGACGTCCCCTCAGTGGACATGAATCCTTGTGGGGGCCTATGAAGAGGGAGCTAGGAAGGAGGCTTTATTTCAACATCGTTGATGACTCCCGGGTGTACACTGTACACTGATCCTCCTCCCCCTCCTCGCCCCACTCCTCCTTCCCCTCCTCCTCCTCCTCCTCCTCCTCCTCCTCCTCCGCCTCCTCCTCCTCCTCCTCCTCCTCCTCCTCTTGCTCCTCCTTCTCCTCCTCCTCGGTCCGACCGTCTTCCACGCGGCGGACGCTACCCCGCGCGCGAGCCCCCGACGCGCGGCCCACCTCGCCCCGTCTGACCCCCTCCCAGGGCCTCTGCTGGTAGGCCCGCGGAGAGGGCTCCCCGCGCCACGCGGGCGGCGGCCTGCAGGCGGCCGGATCCATCGCCTCCTCCTCCCCCCCCCCCCCCTAGATCCCCTCCTCCTCCCCTCGGGCGGGTGGCAGTGGCCTGCTTGGGGGGCACGGAGAAAGGCCCTCAAGGGGCCCTCTTCTTCAGCCCCCCTTTCGGTCACCCCCCCCATCCATCGCCACACGTCCGATCCCTGCCTCCTCCTCCTCCTCCTCCTCCTCCTCCTCCTCCTTCCTCCTCCTCCTCTCCTCCTCCTCCTCCTCCCCCCCCCCCACACGTCTGGGGGAGAGGGGGAGGAGGAGGAGGAGGAGGAGGAGGAGGAGGAGGAGGAGGAGGAGGAGGAAAGGGAGGAGGAGGAGGAGGAGGAGGACGAGGTGGGGGGTCTGGACGGAGAGGTGGGCCGTGAGGCGATGAACAGGGTTCGCTGACCTTGACTGTGGCTTGTCGGTGGCTTGACGGTTGCGTGTCGATAACTTGTCGACAGTGTGTGGGTAGTCTCGCGGCCGCCCGACAAGGCTCTGCATGACGTCCCCTCCCCTCCCCTCCTCCCCTCCCCTCCCCTGCCCCCAGACTGGCGGGCGGCTGGCGGGCGGCTGGCGGGCCGCTCGCGGCCCGGCGGCGCACGCTGGGGGCTCGCGCCCCCCGCCCGGCGCAACGTCGCACGGGCTGGGGCAAGGCACCACGAAGGGCTTGTCGCTGGCCGCGGGGCCACCGACACGCCACCCACAGACCGCCGACAAGCCACCGCCAAACTCCCGCCCAGACTCCGCCACGCCTGGTCCAGCCATGGCTTCCAGCATCTTTTCTTATCGTTCTCCTTGGCGTTCGACTGAAGCCCGGGAGGGGAAATCATGACGTCGACCCCCAGGGAGGTCCGGACCCATTCCCCGGGACCAGTCTTCCATCCCGAGCCGTTTTCTGACGGTCCCGAGGCCGGGTGAGGGCCCCCAGAGGCCGAAAATGGCAAAAAACGTCCCGTCGCGATTCTTTCATGACTCGAGGGGGTCTGTGTAGGCAGGGGGAGGGGGCCGGGAGAGCGCGAAAATGAACACGAGGATACCGTCCCAGCCGGCGGGTGGGATCCGGGGTTTGGGCCCGAGCTCCACTGCGGGGGTGGCGTCGGCGTCCGCGCCGCGGCGGCCGCCTGGGCCGCGCCCGGCCCGCGGGAGCCTCCTCCTACCCCCCCTCCTCCTCCTCCTCCTCCTCCTCCTTCTCCTCCTCCTCGGCGGCCATGGTGGGGCAGAGGGTACCGACCTACAGTGGCATCGACAGCCGTGGCTCGGGTGGTCTGTCTGATCGTTGCGCTCCAGTGCTCTCAAAGTGTGGCAACTGATTCGTTGGATGAGGGAGTGCGGCGTCTGATCAGTCGTGTGCCCGCTTTGCAGTGCTATCCAGGTTCAGACCAGAAGTTCGGTGATTCGGATTTTCCAGGAGGGTCCCGAAGGTTCAAGTCGTAATGTGGATGAAACAAACCGTGATGCGGAGAACCTCGGGAGCCAAGCCAAAAGTAAGTATGATCGTTCAAGCTCAGCCTGCACGATCAACACGTCATCGCACGGTCCTTTGGTCAAGTTGCTGAGCGTTCCAGATTACAGTCGTGGAGTGGAGTTGGTCCAAGAGCATCATTGTGATACCGCGAAGCTCCCCGACGTTCAACACAAATGCAACAATTTGAATATGTGTGGTATTTGGGCTCCGTCTGTCTCTACGGGTCGTGGAGGCACAGCTGGCGGAGTCGCGGTTCTTGCCCCGAAACACGTGCTGCTGTCAAAGCCCCCCATGCTCAAGGATCCTATTCTATACCCTGGGCGAGCGGTGGCGGCCAAGGCCCACTGGGCCATGGCAAACGGCGTGGTTCGCATCTCGGCGTACCTTGTCGTCGGCATTGGTCTCACAGGTGGGAATTTGAAGTTGCTGAGCGCGATCACTAAGTACATTTCTAAGTTGAATGTGGCAGGCCAAAAGTGGATCATCGGTACTGACTGGAACGTGGACCCAAACTGTGGCATCGATGATTGGTTCGTCGTCTTGAAGGGTATCCGTCATTGCAGTATCGAACCCACATGTATCAAAGCAACGCCAGGTGCTCATCGTGATTGGTTTTATGCTTCTGAAGGCTTCTCTCA